TTTTTCTGTTTTTCTCTTCACTTAAGACCCAACAAATTAGATTTCCCTTTTAATTAGTTGAGGGAATAATTCTACTTGTTTTTTTAATGTGTAGTAATGAAGAAACAACATAAATAAGACAAAAATGACATCTGAAAAATAATTTCTAACTTTGGCCTTGACTTGTGATATAACTTATACGTTAAATAATAATATAAAATAAAAAACAAGAAGCTAGTCTACCATATCATAGCCTCTCTCTCTCTCTCTTCATCCTAGCTTATACGAATTCACCAAACTTTCTATTTGAAAAGGACAATAATAGATAGCAAAAGAGAAAAAAGAATAGAAAATAGAAAATATTAGTACAACCAAATTTGTGTAAATGCCAAAAAAAAGAAGGGAACCACACATCATAGTAAAAATTTAATGGGTGTATATATACAAATAATTTTTATTTATTTTATATATACAAATATGATTATTTTGATCTCATATTTATTTCAAGACATGCAAGACCTAGCTACCAAGGTTCGTATGTTGTCATGTTTAGGGAAGAAGACAAATTGAGCTAGGAAACCACAAGGAATGGGAAGAGAATGACACTTGTCGCCATCGAGTTGGACCATCCTAGGTTAATATGTTGAGGTAAAATCAAAGTCCAAAGTACAAATCAAAGAACATCTCAGTTATGTTTCCATAAAATGTTTAGTTTTACACGATTGATTAGTCGTGTTCTTTAGATCCATGATTCGATTGGATTATGAGATGTGTTAATTAACAAAATATAGAGGAAATATATAAATTTGAGAATAGTATAATTAGTTGGAAGTACTATTGAAACAGTTATTATAATATAATATATGATGTTTGTAGTGGTTGGTATTGGTACACAATTTCACTTAGCCCTTTTAAATGGAAAAAGAATGTCAATGAAATGATGTTAATATAATCACTACAATAATAAATAATAATTAGAGATTGACAATCACTTGATTAATCTCAAATCTAATTGCCAACACCCAGCGGCAGACCCCAAAAAAAAAGGCTTTTTTTATTGGGTTTTCTCCAAAAGCATGCAAATTTGGGGTCAATCACTCTCTTTTCAACCAATGAAGAGATAAAAGATTGATTTGAGGGGGAAAAAAAGTTAGGAAAAAACCCATTAGAATATTTATAGATTATGTCAACAATAACCAAAAATCAATAGCATGGGGCAATTGGAAAAGACAATTGATTTCCAATTTCCCACTTTTTTTTCCAACTACAAGAAAAACAATGACTACCACTTCTTTGTCCCCAACCCAATTTCCCCTTTGTCAAACCTTTGTTTTTTGCATTTAATTAGCTCATCATTAATTACCCATTTCAACAACAAAAAGTATAAACAGTCCAGTATAGAAATCAAAATGGACGTTTTGAAAATATAGAAATTAAAATAATAAAAGTTGAAAATACATGGACCAAAAAGATTCAAAATCGAAAGTATATTAAACTAAAAG